CTTTATTACATTTTTTCAATTTTTTGATACATATATTCAGGGATATAATGTTTCAATTTTTATTTGGCAATTATGCGAGAACTCGTATATTTTCGTGTATATTACAAATTAATTCCGGACCACGCACACAAAAAGAGACTTTGAGTCTCTTACTGTGCATTTTAAATAAGTTTCAAATTTTCTTCAGCCATAGGTACTTATGTGCTCTTCTTCTTGACTCTAGCCTTTCTGAAAATTTATACAAATTGTAGTTTAAAAACTAACGCAGAAAAATAAACGAAAAAGCGTAAAATTGAAAGTTTGGAAAATAAAGAACCCACTCTTGGCCAGGAACGTGGACAGGAGTCAAGTGTTAGAACTATTTCACACATTTTCACTCATTTCAATATGTTACAAATCAAAATCACACACACACGACTGCACATGCAATCTTAATAAATAACAGGTGTGTTACATTCTTGTATAAACATTCTTGAATAATGAATCAATATTCATGTCCATATTACTGCTCGACGGAAACCGCAGGAAGGTGGTGATTTCTTCCATCAGGAGGAAATGTAAAAAATTGTCTAATAAGTCACGTATGAATCATAACTATTTGATAATTTTTTACATTTCCAAAGGAATGAAGGAAAGGAAAGAAATAAAGCATGTGTTTAAGTAGAGCAACTTAAAAGCATTAAACCGTTAAACAAAACTTGCACAATTAATTAAAATGCTACGTACAAAAAATTCAAAGTAATATTGATCATGAACAAGCGACCGAAATGTTAGTATGACATATTATACATTTTTAATTCAAAACGCTAATTAATAAAATTTAAATGGAATAGGAACTACAGTTATAAATTACTTTATGTGGTTTATGATATAAAAAATTAATATAAAATTAGAGCATATAACCACATACTCGGAGGAATGAGTGAAAGATATATATATTCGATAACATGTCTAATAGGCCAACGTTTATTCTATTACAATACAAAACTATGCCATAACATTATTATCAATATAAAAGTCTAGACGTTTCGACCTTTAATATGGTCTTCATCAGTAACAATTTGTATGTATGAGCCAATTTAATTACATTAAACCTAACATGATCGCAATGAGATGATTATACAATGTTAGAATGCAAATCTTAAATAGTTGAACCTTATTAATAAAAATCGTAATTTCTGTGATTGCCCATATCCAGGTCTTGTTGTATCTTCGTTATAAATTGTGAAATTGTACATCAACATTTAATTTATTACAGAAAAATTGATCCTTGTCATACTTCGAAATTTTTTTCTTGACAGAATTCATCTTGTCAGTTAAATTAATTTTGAACTCAACCTTTTTCCAGTTTGATAATAAATTTTATAGACAGATTTTTGGCATGCCAATGGGCTCTCTACTCTCGCCTATCATTTCGGATCTAGTCATGGAGGATTTAGAAAATAGAATACATTCCACAATAAAAATAGAAATACCCATATACTTTAGATACGTTGACGATATACTTTTAGCTTTACCTAATCATCAAATAAACTCAACACTAGACTTATTTAATAATCAGCATAATAGATTAAAATTTACATTAGAAGAAAATGATATTGGATCTGTTAATTTCCTTGATGTAACAATCCAAGTAGTTGACAACAAGATAATGTTTGACTTGTACAAGAAACCCACATTTTCAGGAAGATATCTTAACTATTTTTCCAATCATCCTGTTATTCATAAAAAGGGTATAATCTTTTCTTTGTTGGACAGAATTATTTTCTTATCGCATCCGAGCTTTCACACTAAAAATATTACGGATATGATAAATACGTTAATTAAAAATGGATATCCTGTAGAGTTTGTGTTTTCTACCATCAATCACAGAATCAAAACTTTAATACATAGTACTGAATTTAAATACAACAAAATTGGAAAGAATAATATAGATTCCGAGATTAAAAAATTTGTTTCCTTGCCTTATGTGCAGAATCTAACTGAAAAATTTAAACGTATATATAATAAACACAATTTAAATTTAGCATACAAACCTATTAACAGTTTATCTAGATTTATCACAACGGGTAAGGACAAAATTAACAAAATGGATAAAAATCATGTAGTATACAAAATCAATTGCCAAAACTGTGAAAGTTCGTATGTGGGACAAACGAAGAGGAGATTAAAAACCCGAATTAAAGAACACAAAGCTGATATCAATAAGTCGAATTGGAATTCCGTTATTTCACATCATAGAAGCAATCGTGGTCATGAGATGGATTGGAACAATATTAAGATAGTTGATACTGAACCTTTCTGTTACAAACGTTCGATATCAGAAATGATCTATATTAAAAAACAAGAAAAAGGGTTAAATGACCAAAAAGACACAGAAAAATTGCCTACGAACTACTTACCGATAATCCATTTAACAAGTAATAAGTAATGACTTACATAAAGGAATGACAGATGGCAATGTCTCAATTTTATGTGTCCTACTATTCCATCTCTAGATGATAATTGTCTTTCTCTTTCTAACTCGTTTAACCTCAGTTATATATAAATACGGATATTTTTAATTTTAAACACACTCACAGTTGAAACCGCTATAGAATAATATATCTTCTCAATAATTCTTGTTAAATTAGTAAATTTTACTTTCCATGACTGGTGAAGAAATCAAATTAATAGAAAGAAATAAGTTTAAGGTATTTATTTTTCGTAATAATAATTTTTTTATAAGAAAATTGTGTATAAGACAATCTACCCGAAAATTTCTCCAATAAATATTACATGTGGCTTCTTAGTAAAAATACGTTCTACAATTAATATTTTTCATTAATACAAATTAAATCATCCTCTATCTTAATGTCACGTCTCATAATGTAGCAAAAATGGCACTACTTGTTTGATTTACATATTAGTCATA